ACCACACATATGGCAACTTTCAATTAGTTGTGTGAATCCTTCCACCATATTATCAAAACTGACAGTGGTTGGGAAATACCCTGAACTTTAAGTTGGTATCATAAGGGAGGGTGCTCTTGTGGGGCTTTTCCCTCCAGCTTCTCAGTTGGCCTGAATTCTCACATATGCACTCATAAAAAAGACTTATTTAACAGAGGTAGGGGGTACGTGTAAGTGCTTCAACACCAATTTTCTTAAAATATCCTTTTGCTACTGCCGTTTCTGGAGAGCAAATGTCAGGGTCAAACCAGTGGAAATGATTTGGGCTTAGGTCCAAGAATCTTTACGTCCAAAGCTAACTTTGCAATCAGGAATCAGGCAATAAGAACTGCAGCCAACTGGCACAGAATTACCAAAATGTCAGGGCTGAACTGGACCTTGGCGTCAGAGTCAGAACATAGGAAGTGATGTGTCAAGCCATATGGGCTTCAGGCTGTACCAGACAGGAAGCTGGAATCACACCCACCACTAGCTCAGGCTCCCTATCTCCTCTTGAGCAAAAGCCCTCTGACCTGGGACGGGGTGGAGTCACTCTGAACCGACATGGCCAACATTCAGACCTAACTAGACAACAAGATCAGGAAGCAGTACTATGATTATTGCCATTCTTTTCAGATTATATGATCTAAAAACCAAGGTCCACATTCAGAGATGAGAAGGCTGATCAAGAGGCCTGTGGTCAGGGATCTTGAGTCAAGTCACCCCTCAAAGGTAGGATTTTGGAGAGTCAGTTTTAACTGGGAAATTCCAAGGGTTCTATCTGTCACTGCATGCAGGATCATCTCTATCCTCCCAAGGTTCACTTGGATCCAGATTGCTCCCAAATCCACACTTGAACTCCAAATTTCCAAATGCCCATTAGAGACTTTCTCCTAGAAGCCCTTTCTTTGCCAAGAAACTCAAAATGTCAAAAATGGAATTTAATATTCCTTTCAATCACCTTCACAAATCGCCCCATCTCTATGAGTGCCACAATTATTCTTCTAACAAGGGAAGACACCTCCTGGCCAGCACAGTGTCCTGCCTTTCTAAGGTCTTTAACTAAATTGCATCAAGCCCTGTCATTTCATCTATCCTCCTAAAGACAATTTTACCTTTGGCCCCTATTCTTCATTCCCACCAGGCCCAGGCCCTTATGGCTTCAAACTGAAATTATTTCAAGTACTTAATAGGCCTCCTGACCTGTAGTAACTAGAATAGTTACCATTAAAGAGTACTTACGGTGGTGCCTATGGCTAAAAGGAGTAGGGTGCTGGCCCCATATGCCAGAGGTGGCGGGTTCAAACCTGGCCCTGGCCAAAAAAAAAAGAGTACTTGCTTTGGGTCTGTGCTAAATGCTTGCTATGAAAAAGCTCACATAATCTCAACAACTCTGTCACAATCACTCCCATTTTATAGATGAGGCAACTAAAGCCCTCTAAGGTTCAGTAAGTATCCCACAACGCAAAGATAGTAAGTGGTAGACCTTAGCCTTGATAGATGACTGTGGACTGTGTGACTCCAGAACTGTGCCACTCTCCCAAGACATGGGAGTTGGAGCAAGGACTGGAATAGGAGATACTTCTGAAAGTATCTCAGTGATGCAGTCCTCAAGAGTCATGTAAGGACTGGAGCTCCCAGTCTAGGCAAAAAATCAGCAACTTGGTGACCTATAGGAATTTAAGAAAATGGAAAAGCCAGGGAGTTAGGCAGAGAGGAATTACATAGAGCTGCTGGGGAACAGATGCTGGCCCTTGTGATAAGGGAGGGCGCCAGTGACCATTTGACATAGGCTACAGGAAAAGTCATGGGTAGTATGAAGCATGTACCCCAAGGCTTGGTAAGGGCCACTTGCTGCCTCCCAGTCAGGCTCCCAGTCCAAGTTGGTCCTGGCTGTCTGCAAATGCTGCAAAAGACTATTTTCATGAGGCTGGTCAAGGACCAGAGCTCCTAAGACAGGATGGGAGACTGATGTGAGCCAAGAAGTTGTCACCCAAAGGTCATGAAGAGAGAGAGTAGACAAGGATGGGAGCTGTATAGGCACCACCAGAATCAGGAGCCAGCAGGATGCTGGCCAAGGGGCAGTATGGTCAGAGAACAAGATCACCATTCCTAAGTGTCCCATCATCACCCTCTCCAGTGCTAACTCATTCCAGTCTGCTTTGGACATTTAATAAGCTGGTGTGGGGCTTATTTCCCTTACTCAAATCTGACTTATTCCTTTCACTCAAACTGTCCTAGGATACCATCCTAAGTTTATTCCCAGCCAAAAGAATTCAATTTGTGTCAGGTTAATTTCTGAACTTCCCAAGGTCATGGAGCCTTCTGAAACTAGAACTGTGTAGAAATATCTCATTGAAGCCCCTCATACTTTGTACAGGCTTCAAAGTCACTGTGACTGATCCATAGTCAGAAAGTAAGGTAGCAAACTCTAAACTCACACCTGACTCTTCTGATGCAACAAACTGCCTTCTGCTCCCACCAAATGCAGGCAGAATTATTCTCTTTTCCTCCCTTCCCCTACTTCTCATAACAATTCCCAGTGACTCACTTATCATCTGGCACATGGATATTGCTGAATAAATGTCTCCTCATTGGATTCAAGGATCTCAATTTACAAGGAAGAAAATCCTAAGCTTAACTAAAGTATGGCTAACAGCTATGCCATAATTCTTCCAAGTACGGTACTGCCTTTTAAAACAATCTGGGGACAATCTGGTGAAATCTCTTTCTTTGGTAGAAATATGTAAGATGTACAATAATTTTGAGACAGGAGAGGGCTTCTGACACTGCCTCAAATGCTGGTAGCATAAGCATGTCCCCGGTAAGGAGCAGCACTTGTGCTCTATGGCAATGCCACAGTGTAGCCACAAGAGGGAGCCCAAGGCTCCCCTCCCCGTTCCCCTCACTGGGCTGGGCCATTCCCGAGTCATTTCACTGAGCCACGTGGCCTCAGGTAAGGCCATTCTCTTTGTATTGTCCCTTAGTGGTCTCTCTTCCCTACCTGGGAAGCTTGGAACTGGATCTTCCCAGTTAGGCTTAGAGAGGCTGGATTATTCTAGGCTAGAAATAATTTTGCCTTCTCTCCTTGCCCCTACCTTTTCTGGAGAAGAGAAAAGCCGCTGCAACAGGAAGGGGGAGGGGGGCAGGCTCCAAGTTTAGGACTAAGAAGTTGCTCTGTTCACTTGCAGCACCGCAGGCTGCCCAGGCCTTCCCTTAGCATAAGGATAAAGAAGTCTTCCCGGCTTGGCCCCTGTGGCTCAAGCGGCTAAGGCGCCAGCCACATACACCTAAGGTGGCGGATTCAAATCCCCAGCCCGGGCCCGCCAAACAACAATGATGGCTGCAACCAAAAAATGGCCAGGTGTTGTGGCGGGCGCCTGTAGTCCCAGCTGCTTGGGAAGCTGAGGCAGGAGACTCGCTTGAGCCCAGGAGTTGAAGGTTGCTGTGAGCATGATGCCATGGCACTCTACCCAGGGGGACAGCTTGAGGCTCCGTCTCAAAAAAAAAAAAAGAAGTCTTCCCCAAGGACCAGCATTACCAGAGAGGGCCTTGTGCTTAACCCAACCCTGCCCTCATCCCCGAGCATCTGCCTGGGCACCTGTTATAGGCGGCTGGGACAGGAAGAAAGTCAGTCTCCATGACACTGGGCACTGTCCATCTCCACCCTACACGATCCCATCTGAACACACCGGAAGGGTCTGCATGCCCTATACTCCTTTACTCTTTCGTCCCAAGGGAGTGATCATCCCCTCCGTTCAATCTCTCCCTTTGTTTCCTTTGAGAAAGAAAGAAAACTCTTATCCCCTACAGCAGTAGCTCTCAGATGTGGTCCTTAGCACCTCTGGCATCACCTAAGAACTTGTCAGAAATGCAAAACCTCAGACTCACAAGCGAGAATCATACACCTGTCTTTTTACTACAGGCGATTCTGATGTGGTTAAAGTGTGAGAACCAACTTCCCTACAGAGTGGAAAGGGGCTGCCCCACTCTAAATAACTGTCCCTGTGGAACCTCAAAGTCAGCATTTCCCAACTCTCAGAATACTGGGGCTACGGAAAACCCTTCTCAAGAGAGGTCAGTATAATCCTACTCCTAATCTAGTAACAGCAGCTGACATCTAATAGCTCCTTCCATGCCGCCCCAGCAGGCACAGCACAACACATTTCACATACTTCTTCCTCACAATTATTTTAGAAGGCAGGTCCAATCATCAACCCCATTCCACAGATGAGATCATTAGGGTTGAGATAGTGAATAATTTGTCGAAGGTTGCACAGGCAACAGATGGTGGATCCAGGCAGGATGTGAACAGAGAGGTGTGAGGTTCCAGAGCCCCAGTTCTAAACCTCAGTACCATATATTAGACATTCAGGTTCCCCAAGTTCCAGATCAGGGTATGGAGTTAGGCTCTACAGGGCTATTTTGACCTTTTTTTCTCCTAGTTTCTACTGGTCAAAGAATTGCCCTCTCAGCTGGCTGATCCCTACCACAGGCCTGAGCCCTGCCCACCTCTGCTTTCCTGGAAGCAAGGTCACTTGGCCACATGGACCTCCCAGCCTCCCCTGGCTGTTTCCTCGGCCAGTACTGCCTGGACAGGTCACTGCCAAACTCTTGGAATGGGGAATGATCTCTGAGAAGCTCAACCTCTAGTCCATCTCACCATGAGCCATTTGCACAAATATACTCTGCAGAGCACTGGCTCTCCTGACAGGGTTATCTGCTCAGTCAAAGCTCAGATAAAGTGGTGGTCACTGCTGCACCGTCACCTGAAGCATGTGACTACCTGTCTGTTCAGGGCTGTGACCATCATTCCTCACAGAGGGGACATGGAGCTGACTGTCCCAGGGACCCCTGAGAAAATCAGGAGCTAATGAATTCACACACACTCTCTGCAGCAGAGCACGAACTCCACCCTACTCCTCATCCTGCCCTTCCCATGTGGCTTTAAACACTCCTCCCCAGTTCAAGTGGTAACACACCTGATTTGCTTCCATGTTGTGGGGTTTCCTGTGGGCTCACAGGGGTACTGCTTGGGATTTCCTTGTAGGAAGATGAGGCCCGGAGAGTCACTGCTCCCTTCCCAGTGCAGATTTTTGTAGGATCCATATCTGAAAAAACAAGAACCCCAAAGAGAAAACTGAATCCAAGACTCGTGAAAAATTAAAGTTAGCAGGACAATCAGTTAGCAAATTGGCACCGCTGGGGAATGAGATGGCCCTGGTCACAGCCACACAGCCTTCAAACACTTGTGGGCAATGGAAATTAATTTGGGGGTGGTAGAGTAGGGACAAATCACATTTGTAGGTGTTTACTCTGCATCATGAAGTTAGGGGGAAATGGAGGCATGGAGGCAACCATGAGTTCTGAGTAAATGCATGAGTTGCGATATCAGCCGGAAACATTTCAGAATGAAAGCAGGTTTACTCCTTTTATTAAATGAAGTTTAGGATGGTGAGCAGACTTCTGGCCAATTAGTTAGTAAGGCGCAGTTCAAGAAAGAGCTTATGAAAGATTTCTCAAGCTTCCAGACCATCATTCTTATACAAGAGCCAGGTGGCAACATAGGGAGTCAGGTGGGTGTTCCACGGAGAATCATTGCTCCTTGCAGTTTTCAGTGGGAAAGAGAAAAGTAAATCTCCTTAGATCAGCAAGTCAAGACCCTAGAAATCATGAGACAGAAGGATATACTGCCTGGTGAAAAAGCTCATGAGTGACAGCCTCACGTTCCAAACACAACAAAAAACCCCACAGCAACAAAAATGCCTAGAAAGGCTTCATCCTTCTATGAACGGTGTCCATCACGTCTCCACAGGCCCCTCAATCTCTCCTACAGTTTTATGAGGGCCCAATAACACAATAACAGACCCAGATCGTCTCTGAGAGTTCCCTTGAAAGGGAGTTCGAAATACGCTTCAAAAGAGCCAGATGCCCGTCCTCCAAGAAAATCAGTATAAGAGGCAGGAAACGGGTGCAGACCACACAATTCCAGAAGGCATGCATGCCAAGTGTTTCTTTCTTTACGCACAGCTGAACTGAGCTGAACTCCATAGTTTTGGTTTCGTTTTTTTGGTTTTTTTTTTCAGTTTTTTTCAAGTTGTTCACAGCCTGAATCCCTCACCTAAAATTGTCATGATCAGGATTACAGGTTAAATTTCAGGACGTGCATTTGGGCAAGATGTGGGCTCCGATGTCTGACTCATCCTCATCCCTGTTCAAGGGCACAGGGAGGCAAAGCCTGCTCTTTCCTTGCTTTCCACCACAGCCCCTTTCCAGCAACCCAGAATGATCATTAATGTCAGAGAAGAGAACAGGTCTGCCCTGGCGGCCCCTTATCCACTGAAAGTGAAGCACAAAAACCACAATGTATGGCAGGGCAGTCAGTGGCCTTGGGCAGCATCTGATCTGTCCAACCTCATCAACAGGCTAAGTGACTGATGTCACAAAACTATTGGGGAAACTGGTTCATGGTCATTTCAAAAGGGTGAGGGGCAAACTGATAAATCCAGCCCATCCATAGGTTCCTGGACACACCCGATTTGCCCAACTTCTGAAACTGCCACTGGATAAAGGAGCTCTACACCTCCTTTGTCCTACATTGTACAGAAGGATGTGGTGAGCCACAGCTGACGTCCGAACTACACCCATGGCTGGAGAGAAGAGGGAGGAAGTGACTACCGGTAAAGTCGGGGCGGGGGCAGGAGATGCTCTGGGAAATGGCCCAGGCAACATCACACAGGAGAGTCTAAGTTTGGCGTGTAAGGCAGCTGCCTCATTCACAGGGCATGTAAGGCAGAGGCCAGTAATTCTCAGGGAAATGGGAGTTTTAACTAATGTAGGAGGGTTGGAAACCTCGAGGGAGAGTCTGAGAAGTCCACGCACCTGAGACCCAACCCGGAGTGAGTGCTTGGCCTCTGAACTGACCTTTCTCCTAAAGAAGGCAGCGGCAAGGCCTCTGTCCTTAGTTCTTCCCCTCACTCGCTGACTCCCAGAAAAACACAGACATGTGCACGCACACGCTCACACACAGACGCGCGCACACACAGAGGACGTGAGGGAACCAGCTGAGGAAGTGAGAGGGAATGCCTCCTACACATGCAAGGAGTAAGCCTCAAAGTGTGTGTTAGAAGGAGAGAAGAAAGGAAACCGTGCATGACCTGCTAATAATTTTAAAAGAAACCAACCCAAGGACAGATACCTGTAGGTAGGACTAGGCCTGAAGCGTTTTTCACTGTCTTCACGGGAATTATTTTAACAGCAGAAATAGAGCGTGCACGTAAAGAGTCGGCAATTGCTGAAAACACAAAAGGGTCAATGGTGCATCCAGAAAGAACATTTGGGAAACACTCAGGCAGTTGAGGAACTGGGCAGGGACAATAGCAGGAAGACGCCCACACAAAAAGAACAATACAAAGAGCAGTAGATGCAGGAATTAAAAATAACCTGCTTTCTCTCTTTAGAGTTCTAGGCCAAGACAGCAGACCCCTCCTTCCAACCATCACCCAAAGACAGTTGGGCAGTGTTCATCAGTGCCTCCTGCCACACCAGGAGCTTGCCAAGGCTCTGGACAAAGAGATTTACAGAGACACAGATGGCCTGGCAAATAGAGGAAGGGGAGAACAGTCAGAGACCAGGGCCCCTTGGGAGAATCCTGGGGGGAGGACTCCGAGGAGAGCTACTGGCCAGGAGGCTCCAGCTGAGCACAGGAAGGAAAGGAACAAGTTCGTGAGTTGCCTGATCCTTTCAGCTATCACAGCTGCTTCCCCTAAATCATAACTTCTGGGGTCCTGTGCCCACTGACAAGCCAGGCCTCTGGCCCCAAGCAAATCAGAACCCCCATCTGTTAGATAGCAGATGGTCTTGCTTAAACCCACCCATTCCTGGGCAAGACGTGCCAAGTGTCCAAGTGCATGCATAAGACCCTGGACAACACCCAAGTGCACAACCCAGGATCCTGACACCCAGCTGAGCCAAGGCAGAGCAGGGGCACCAGCCTGAGATGGGTGAAGACTGCTGCCCACATATCCTGGGTGCTTATGCTTCTCTCTCTGCTCATTCCTGGGCTCCCTGCCTGGCCAGATTCTGCCATCTCAACAGTGGGCACACCCCCAAACCCTGCTTTTCACAACCAGCCTGTTGTGTCCCCCACAGCCCCGCCCTCCTCTCAATGGCAGCACACACAGAGATGGGAAGGTGCCAAAGTCACTCCAACAAGCAAAGTCCAGAGGTCTTATTCCACACAATCACAGGGCGGGAGAGTGTCTGGGAACAAGGCTGTCACCATAGAATCAGCATTGTGCTGGCCAGACTGTCAAGGGGACAGGAGGGAGGGTGGGAGGCACCTTCCAGCCCGTCACACTGCCACCTGGTACAGAACGTGGCAGTCACACCGCATCTGGTTGTTAATAGCTAAGTTGAGACTGATGATACTACATGTATCAGGATATAAATGTGTTTTCATGGCAAGTCACTCAGGAGATTGGCAAGGTGGGAGACTTCTGTTACTGTTTTCAGAGGAAGAGGCAAGAAGCTCAGGGCAATGCTCAGGGCGCTTGGTTCTCAAGTGGAAAGGCTGAGACTGGAGTTCAGCTGTCCCGGGTCCTGCTTTAGTGACCTCCCAGGCCACCATGATGACCTGCAGGTTACACCTGCCTCCTTGTTTCCAACCAAGGACAGGATGGACATATGTCCTTCTGCCACCCTCCCTCCAACCCCTTAAGTCCCTTATACAAATGAATTCACAGGACTGGGGTCTATGGTCCCATAGGTCTTATACATATTGGGGTCCCCATTCCCCATGCTCCTCACTGGACACTAAACTGTTCCCTGTGGCCACTCCACAGACACCTCCCCTCTGTGTTTCCTAAGTTCAGCTTAGCCTATATTGTCACGGTCCCAATAGCACAGCAGACAAGGCCCCACTGCAGATCGTGGCCAGGGAGGGAGGCAAGAATAGGCCGACAGTCTCTCCTGCTGCCAAGGAACCCACCCCCTCACCACAGGGTCCCACATTCCCCATCTCCTCCCACTTTCTAGGCTTTTCCTCCCCTGGTGGATAGCTCTAAGTTCACATTTTGCCTTGCCTCAATTGGAACACTGGCCGAACCAGGTGGGAATTATAAAGACCAAAATGCCAAATGCTGTGAAATTATTCTTTGAAAACTGGTGCATTTTGACTTAAATGTACAATACCAGGATCTTTGTTCTTCTTCTTTGATACCATGACATTTAGTAGATGAGCATTCAAATTCTAAATTCGAAGCAGATCATCAAATCTCCTCGTTTTATAGATCAGGGAACTCCTACCCACCAGGATAAAGGACCTTCTAAGACATCTATCTGTGAGTGGCAGAGCTGGGACTGGAGCTCTTGCCTCATCACTCCACCCCAAGGGCCCCAGGACATCACCACACTGCCAAAATGGCACCAAGAGCCCTGCTGCTGTGCTACTGGGGTAGCCACATTGAGATCAGGATGAAAGTCTCCAGGGCACCCAAGTGCCCATCAATACATAAATAAATTAATAAAATGTGGTATATGCATACCATGGAGTACTACTCAGTCATGAAAAATGGCATGCTAGTATCTTTTTGACAACCTGGAAGGAACTAGAAACCATTCTTTTAAGTGAAACATCACAAGAATGGAGAAACACACACACATACTCAGACCAAATTGGAACTGATGGATCAACAATTAAGTGTACAAATGGAAGTAAATCTCAGTGAAAAATCAAGCTGGGGGGGTGGGGGAGGGGGGCTGAGTATATCCACACCTATTGGGTACGGTGCACACTAACTGGGTGAAGATCACACTTATAACTTGGACTCAATCAGTACAAAAACAAAATATATAAACAAAACACGTGTATCCCTTAACATTCTGAAATTAAAAAAAAAAAGAAAAAGTCTCCAGGGCAAACAAGACCCAAAGGTCATCTTACCCATCATTCATTTCATGCTTACATCTTTTATCTCACAGTTTTTTGAAACTGAGAATATGAGAGGAGGTACGTGAAACTAATGCCACTGTCATAATTTATTTTAATGATTCAAGATTTTGCCTTGGGGTCAGGACTGTGAATGTGTAACTGTTTATTACAGGTGAAGGTGAAATGCTGGGTACAGGACATTTCAGTGTGATGAATGCCATGTGTACCAGGCATGAAGCATGCCTTGGTCCCTGTATTTGATCTGCTATGATTCACAGCATACTTGCCAGCTAGAGATAGTTTTTAATACATCACCCCACGGTGAGGAAATGGCAGTTTCTGACTTAGGAAATGTAAGAACAGGCTCAGACTCAGAACCTCAGCGTTGGGAGTGAGTCTCCAGTTCACAGCCTGGTTAGGACGATGATGTGGGAGAAGTCCCTTCCAGCACTCAGCCAGGCTTCTCTCCGAGAGCCTTACCTTTGTCTTGCCCATTGCTGCCGGGTGCCAAGCCATTTACCACGGCTTTGGAAGCATCGCATTCTGAAAGGAAAAAAAGAACAGGAGGCTTGTGAATTTTTCTCCCCAGCATTTAATAAGTCTTGTGTGGAACATGGTGCTGGGGGGACAGAGTTGAGAGACAGCACAGGGGTCCCGCACTTAGGGACCCTGGAGTGGTTCCGTCCACCTCCCCTCACGCACTCTGGGGATTTCCTCAGCCCGGGGGTAGGCCGCTCAGGGCATCGTAGGGGAGGGAGCTCTGGGAATGCTGCATAGCCTGAACCAGGAGAGGAAGAAAAAGCTAATTGGGGACGGAAGTACGCTGAGGGTCACATGAATTCTTCTGCCTCCTTGCTATGGCTTCTTTCCTGACATTTAAATAATCTGCTTAAACTCCCTAAAAATGGCATCTCCAACCTAAGGCCTACCTATCCCCTCAAAAGCAGCTCAGATTCATCCCTACGTGCTCAGCCGACAATCTGTCAAACAGAACAGAAGCCTCGGGCTCCTTGACACTTCCCTTCAGCCACCTCCTCCCATACCGCACCTGTCAAAGGCACACTGTCCTGCCTGTGAGGTGTCCTTTCTCATACCCTGCCTCCCCAGCCTAGTTCAGACGCGTGCCACTGCCCAGGGACAATGTGGCTTCCTGGCCGCTCCCTCTGTCTCCTCTCCATCCGTCCTCTAACCTGAGCCTCAGTCTGCATCCTAAGAGCAGGTTCTAGACCTAACTACAGCCCTCCCCAGGTTAAAAAGCTCCCGGGTGCAAGACGGAAAGAAAATGGGATTCTGCAATGTGATTTTCTAAAGCCTCTTTACTTGAAATACACTTTTATTTCATCTCCATTTCGAAGATAAAAATTGGGGGATTTAGTTTGGGAGCTTAATCATTCAGAATATTATTTCCATGGTGGGAGAGGAAACATATTCTGTGTTTCCAAAATTGTACAAATGATTGTTTGGATTATGATTTTTTTATTAAATGGGATGATCTGTACATATATCTTAGCATACCTGGTTATATTTAAATTAACAAACTAACCTTCTTGATAATTAAAAACCAACCAATGAACCTACAAGCCCCAGAGGCCACCAGCTACCTTGAGGGTAAAGCTGAGCAACTCACAACCTGGATTCAAGGCCTTCCACCACCAGTCCCAGCCCCTTCCGGCTGCATTTCCCTCTTGTCCGTGCCCACAGTGCTGGCCTCAACACTTTGGGCTTGTCAGGTACTTTTAGACCTCAAGGTCTTGGGTTCTACAAGGCCCTTGGCCAGGAATGTCTTCTCCTCTCTTCTGACCTTGCAGAAATGCTACACACTCTTGAAACTCTTTAGATGTCACCCCCTTCGTGTCAGTAGAGACTTTCCTGAGTTTCACTCAGCTACAGACACTGAAAGCCTCCCCAAATACCTGCAGTATAAGCTCCACCCAGTTCTCTATCTAAAAATAGCACCTGTGGCCAACATGCTTGGAGGGACCCCCAACAGCCAAGCACCAGCCAAACATTAAACATGATCATAAATAGTTATGGGATTTATATGTTTACTTTTTTTTAGGGAATAGTCATATGCAGAAGTAAGATGGGAGGGGGGAGGAGAACAGAACAAGGAATTTGGTCTCTGATTGGGAACAATTGAGATAACTCACTACCCTTGGACCAGGCTAGCTATGATTTTTTATACACTGATTCTCCTGGATCCCAGAAGCCATGTTTAGCATCCCATAATTGGCATCTCATTTTATCCTGAAGGCCCAGACCCCTTAAGCTAGGAGTTAGGAACTCTTATTGTATAGATAAGAAAGCTGAGCCTTGGAGAAGGCGCCAGGCCTGCCCAAGATCACTTGGCTGGGATTTGAAATCTGGTCTGCCCCATCCCACAGCTCATCTTCTTCCTCACCAATGGGATAATCATTTTGTTTTCCTGGTTCATATATACTATTTCCCCTAAAGCCCAGTCCCAAACCACAGTAGCTCATTAGGTTGAGACGAAGTCACCTTTCCTGGGCCCTTAAAAATCAGCCTCCTAAAGGTAGTCACCTCAAACGTGTATAAACTACACTGACAGGCCAGCCTGGATGCTGCCCATGGCCAGATGTGAGCAGCCACTTCACCTCCCTGGGGTGGCTTGGATTTCCCCCATGCTGGCCCCATGGGGAGGCTGTCCTGCGAATTGCCTCACATCTACCTACAGATGAAGACTCATTCTCCTAGATGTCAAAGTCTCCCTCAAATTCTCACTTTTGGGATGGGTGGAAGGAGAATGGCAAGGCCAGGAATCCAAGCTAAAGAAACAGCACAAGTACCATCATCCATTTTTCTTTGTAGAACTATCTCTTCCCTATGCACTTGCTCCAGCTCCATCTATGACAGTAAGCTTTACCTTAGGCCTCCCCAAGATAGAATACATCAGCCTCTCAGCTACCATCAGCCCAGCCCCATGTTCTTCCATTGCTTTTTTACTTTTCCTTTAATAAATATTAAACAAACCTGAAGATATTTTGGAAAAATATTTAAAATTCAATGATTCCTCCACCTCAAACTCAGACCTCTGCAGCAAAACAAGTTGGTGTCCAACAGCCAAATTTGACTCAGCAATGCTACACACTAACTGGGGGAATCCCAGGCAAATTACTAACCCCTCAGGGCCTCAGTTTCCCCATTTACATAAAGGGGGTGTTAAACCATGCCCACCATTGTGGGTTTGCCAGGAGAATGAAACAGGATCATGTAGGTAAATCACTTCTGTTGGTGACTGGCAGCCTAACCCACATTCAGAATAAAACGAACATAGGGTTTTCATGCTTCTCCTTCCTCTTCCTACCAAAGGGTAAAACAAATATTTTCCACATACCTACTTTCTCCCTGATGATTATTTTTAATAGTGGCATAATATTCCGTCAAGTAAATACACATACTGTACTTACTCATTCCCCACCTTCATGTGGGTGATGTTTTTGTCTCCTTCTTTCCCATTATTCTGACATTCCCAAGTGTGGGATTATCAGGTCAAAGGGTCTAGAGTTTTGGACTCTTCCTAAGCAATGCCTCCTTCCAGCACCCCACCTGCAGGAGATATCCTGGGGAGAGGTCCCTGGGGCATTTCCACTCCCTCACCCTCCTTCCAAGCCCTTCCTTTCCTCCTTCTCTGGCCCTTACTAATGACAAGAGTAGCAATGCCAGTTTAGACTAATTATGACATTGGAAGAGCAGAAAACTTCAAGCTACAAAGCAAAAGTTATTTTTAAAAAGCCATGGCCTGTTTTAAAGGACAACAAAAGTAAAAAGCCAAACAGACAACAAAATATGAGTTAAAAAGCAGGAGTTACTGGCAGCACCCAGGTCCATGTGAAGGGGGAAAGAAGGTGCATAGTCTCTTCACATACCACAAAAGCACTCAAGGAATCAGGGAAAAGCCGAGTCCCTCCCTTTGCAAAGAGGAACTTGGGCTGATACCAGCAAGACCTCATACCTTAGACATAGTGCTCAGCACTTTAAAAGCACTGCCTTGCTTAAACCTCACAAAATCCCATGGAATTGGTGTCTTGATTATGTTCATTTTGCAGAAGAGAATACAGAGAAGGGTCCACCACAGGCTCAAGACCACAGTCAATGCATGATGAGGCCAGGTGTGGCCCTGAGCCTGGAATCCTTCTAGATCCTAACCGTATGCTGTCTTGCTTAGAACTTGACTAATAAGGTACTACACGCAAATAAATGGAAAAGGCTTGTATTCAATCCACAGAGGTCATGAAATAGTGTAGGATTAAGAGACCCCTAAATGAGATATCCAAATTGTCATCCCCCAACCCCAGCCTGCCCCAACCGTAGGTCTCCAGGGGGCCCAGGGCATGCTCAGAGGCCAAGGCAATCCTTAATCTCCAGATGGAAACGTCTCTGGCTCCAGTTCTGGGCTGGACTGCTGACAGCTCTCGGCTACACAACGAGCAGTGATCTGTTCCCATCTCTGTCTTTCCTATCCTGTGTTTTCTCCCCAGTTCAAACCTAAAAATACTCAAAACCAGTTATCTGTTTAGGTCTTGCTTTTTTTTTTTTTTAACCAAAGGCAAAGCAAAAGAGTAAGCAAACCAGCCAACCCAGATTATGGAAAATTAGATTAGTTCACACCCTGGATTAATTATGATCAGTTTGTTGACTTTTACTGCAGTCACCTAGATTAAGAACTGCCACTGAGGTGTATACGTATGTCAAAATTTATCAAATTGTATATGTAAGATATCTAGAGTTTATTGTAGGCCAGTTATATCTCAATAGTGGGAAAAGAGACTAGTGAAAAGATTAGGACTTGGCACATGCAAAGTGTCTAGCATAGTAGGCATTCAAAAAATCATTAACAATGACAGTGATGATAGTGATGAAGATGATTTATGACAAAGCTTTGGCCATTGCCCAAGTTCCAAAAAAATAAAATGCTTCAGAGTACATGGAAAATCTGGTTAATCTGCTCAGTTTTGTAGATTGGACAAGAGAAGGACAGGGTTTAAAATCACTTACCAGAGCTCATGGTGGTCGCAGGACAAGTCTTCTGAAACTGGGGCTCTGAACTGCTCTGCAGAAAAGCAAACACCACACAGTGGAATCAATGGCAGGCCCAAGGTAAATCCCTACAGTTAACATTTAAAATGCAGACTCTATAACCCTTGACAAAGTAGGTAAAGTAGGTGCTTGGCCATGTACTATCACGACCTTGGATACATCAATCAACTCCTTGGTCTCAGTTCTGTCACCCATACTTGCAGGCTACGCAAGATCTCTTCCAGCTCTAACATTCTACTAAAAACTTCAAGTTTTAATGAGCACACGTGGTTCAAGAAGGAGATAAGGAGAAAAATGCATTTTAGGAGAAAGAGATAATTATAACACAAACCAGATTATCAGAAGCCGGTGAGAATAAAGAATGCTTACATGCCTATACACACAAGGCAAAGTTCTGAGTGCTTTAAATATATTAATGTATTTGTTCCTCTCAACAACCCTGAGGTGAGCGCTAACATCATAATAAGGAAACTGAGGCACAGAGTGGTGTGGTAATGCAGCTTGGCTGCCACAGTAGGAGAGTTGATACAGCTGACTCCCAGGCACCACACACACCGGTGTTCAAATGGATAATCCCTGGATTTAGTAGGGTCTCAAATCAAACACAGCTTAAATTATACTGGCAATGTCCTAATAGATATCCAGAAGATCTTTTTTGAGTTATAATTTGCACACAACCAAATGTACCTATTTTAATCATATAATTTGATGACTTCTGACAAATACATATATCCTACAACACAATGACAATATACAGCATTTCCCTTACCCGAAAAAGTTCCCTCATGCTTCCAGAAAAGTTTCCTTATTCCTCTCTATAGTCACGTACCTTTCCAAGATCCTGTTAACCACTAACCTGCTTTCTGTCACTATAGTTTTACATTTTCTAGGATTTTGTAGAAATGGTATCATAATATATGTGATCGTTCATGCCTAGCATAACGTTTTTTCATGCTCAGCATAATGCTTTTTTTTGAGACAGAGCCTCAAACTGGCACCCTGGGTAGAGTGCTGTGGCATCACAGTTTACAGCAACCTCAAACTCCTGGGCTTAAGCGACTCTCTTGCCTCAGCCTCCCAAGTAGCTGGGACTATAGGCGCCC